TTTCTTGAATGTAGATGTTGGCAATGTTTTTGTGAATAAATCGGCCACATTGTCACTTAAGTGAATTTGTTAGATATCGATGTTGCCATTTTTTCAAAACTCATGTGTATGAAAGAATTTTGGAGAAATATGCTTCGCTCTGTCACCTTTGATATAGCATCCTTTAAGTTGTGAAATACAAGCTGCGTTGTTTTCATACAAAATTGTTGGATTATCTTTTATTGAAGTTAACCCATATGATGCTTGAATATGATGAGTCATGTTTCTCAACCATACACATTCTTGGACTGTTTTATGGATTGCAATACTTTCAAAATGATTTGAGGATGAAACTGTTAAGGATTGTTTCACAAATCACCATGGTATAGCCATTCCTTCACGTGTAAACATATAACCTGTTTGTGATTTAGCTTTATGTGGGTCAGATAGATAATCTGCATCTGCATATTCCACTAAAGCAAATCTCGACTTTTTAAAATAAAATAATCTCAAATCAATAATACGCTTTAGGTAATAAAAAATATGTTTAACACCATTCCAATATCTTTGAGTTGGAGTATAACTATATTTTGTAAGGAGGTTTATAGAAAAAGTTATGTCAAATCGAGTGCAATTTACAAGATAAATTAATGCTCCAATTGCACTAATATATGGTATTTCAGGACCAATAACCTTTTCTCCATCTTCAAATGGACGAAATAGATTATTTTTCACATCAAGTGATCAAACAACCATATGTGATGCCAATGAATGTGCACTATCTATATAAAAACGTTTTAAAACTTTTTCTATATACGTAGATTGGTGAACAAATAATCCATTTGCGAAATGTTCAATCTACAATGTGAGACAAAATTTAGTTTTTTCCAAATCCTTCATCTCAAATTCATTTTTCAAATAATCTGCAGTTTTCTTGAGTTCTTCAAGAGTTCCAATTAAATTTAAATTATCAACATAAATTACCACAATTGCAAATTCAATATCTGTTTTCTTTATAAAAACACATGGATAGATATCATCATTATTATAACCCTCATTCAACAAATATTCAATAATGCAATTATACTACATACGTCCGGATTATTTTAATTCATATAATGATTTTTGCAATTTAATGAGAACATGATTCTCGGGTATGTATCATTTGTTCCTGGAACTTCAAGTCTTTCGGGAACTCTCATATATATATATCATTATCAAGTGAACCGTACAAATAGACAATTAATATATCTATAAGGTGCATATCAAGATTTTGTGACATAGTCAAACTAATTAAGAATCTGAAAGTGATGATGTCCATTACGGGAGAATATGTTTCATCATTATCAATTCCTGGTTGTTGTGAGAAACTTTGAGCTACAATTCGGGTTTTTATCTTGTAATTTCATTATTTTCATTTCTCTTTTTTATAAAAATTCATTTGTATCCAATAGGGATTACATTTTCAATAGACTTTTATTGTAATGGAATCTTAACACCATTAGCTTAAAAATGGCGAACAAAAAACTATGTTTAAGTTTACTGTTATTTCAGTTTGATTTAGTTGGTACTTAAATTTATAGTAAATATATTTAGTTTGTTTTAGATTTATTGCTAGTAACTAGTAAGATATAAATATATATTAAATTAATGGCGTAAAAGTAGATAGGCAAAAAAATATATAGCGAAATCGACGGTTTAAAATCGGGCCAAACCGTTAGGTTTAGGTTTGAGTTTTTTTCAGACCGTTTAAAATAGTTTGGTTTAGGTTTGTGTTTTTCCAAATCGGTTTCAATAGTTTGGTTTGAAAATTTGTCAAAAATCGGTAAAATCAAACCGCTTACACCCCTAGTTTGAACTACTTCTCTACAAAGTAAAGCTTCAACCTGCTAAAATCGAAGCAGATTCTTCTCGTGTATTAATGAATATATCTATTTGCGGCTGCCATTTTACGCTTCTCTTTTTTTGCCTTTGACATTATGATGTATGGTATTGTCATCATTTTCTCCTAAAGTATAACTCATGGCGCAAATGTAATTTACCTGATATCATCCAGAATCAAGCTGGAATCAATTCTAAGCCTAGTTCGTCGAGCATATCTCATTTCAAGCATGCTCGTGCACTTCACTATCACTCCATTATACTACATTCACTTGTTCCTGCAGTTGCTGAAGTTTTATTATTGTTGTGGTCAAAATCTGTCAACATGATCTCGACTTCGCCAGCAAAATGGTGGGACAATTCCCTCGACAACCTTTTAGTACCTAAGTCGCCAATTGATTCTAAATGCTGGAGATTATTGATTAGACTAAAATTTCATTTGATTGCAATATTTTCCATGAAAATATCAATTTTTCACCAAAATTTCCATTGTTGTTTGGTTGATTTTTTTCATGGTAAATATTTTCCTACTTTTGTTCACATGATCATATTTTTCTTGAAACAAGGAAAATGTTTTCTTTAGGGAGTGTATGTTTTTATTTTCTATGTTATTTCCTCTCTCTCTCTCATCTACCTACCAATAAAAAAGAACAATATAACATTTTCTAGGTTGAAAATAAAATCAATCGAACACATTTAATTGATAATTTTCATGCAAATAATTTTAGGCAATTCAATTACCTAGAATTTTTTTCCCTTGTAAAGTACATGCTCGCAATCAAATACACCCTTAATGTTGGAGATAACTGATAGTTTATAGAAGTTCGGTGTAATAGAGTATTGACAATTGATTAGACAGGTAGTCTTCAGCTTAAGCTATCGGATAGACGACAAACTTGTTGGCCGAACTCTCAAGGGACAATTTTCACAAATGGGTCTTGGTGAGACTTCAACCTAGGTCTTATGTCTAGCTTGATACTATCCATCTCATCTAAAAGTTTATAAGCTATTAGAGGGTTTTGAGAAAAGGAGATTCTCTTTAGTATAATAGGCCTTCTAGTATGATATGCCATACTTTATCAGCAGTCGACTCCCTCCCCATCTGTTGGAGTCTGGACCCCTACGAGTGAGCAAAGAAGGGAGGAGGAAATCAACATCAAGTTTTTATTACTGCTTGCCTAGGCCCCATTTTTAGAAGAGTGAGAAGAGTCATAGCCTGAGGGGTATGTACCCATGTTTGGCATTCATTAAATAGAAACTCTTTTTTCTCAAACTTATATTCAACCACACATAATAAAATATTTCGCACGTAAATTCAAAACGTTTTCCTATATTTTAACTATACATTCTCAAAAAAATCACTACCTGTTTGACATACATTCTCAAAAAATCACTATAATACTCATTTTTTTCCATTAATGAACGTCAAACAGGGGCTAAATGTTATGGCCAACAAATATATTATTCAAGGTAAAAAAGTCATCATCCATACTGAAAACATGAAATATACAAATGTAATCATCACCTTTATAATGAGTATAAGCTCCAAGAATTCTTTACATCCTCTTTCATTTTAAAAAATCTTGATCTACACTATTTAGTTTTCCACATTATTGATCATTCATTCTCTTTAAAAAGGTTACAAAAATTATATAGAAAAATATATAAATCCCTTTATTTGGCATTGCATTCTGGTGGTAGAACTTTATATCTGGCTGTATCTTTGCAGTATGAATAAAACATGTGCTTCCCTCTAGTCCACTGCAGTCCTGTTATTTGTTGGCTTGATAATTTTGCAAATTCTTCTCCATCAACAGGATCCAAACTCGAAAGGCTGCTTCGAGTGCACGAAGAGGCTACGTTGCTTTTTTGATTCAAAATGCAGCCCTCGACTTCTGTACTTTGTAGAGATGCGACAAAAGGCGCGTATTTATAATCTACGGGGTATTTTCCTCCTTTAGTAGCCCATTCTGATCCATCCCAAATTGTTGTGTATGCTGACATTGGTTTCGATGGATAAACAGAAGATATGACGGTGTTGTGAATTACTTCTCTTACTGGTACATTGTCTACTAGAAACCTGTATTTTCAGTCCCATGGAAAATGTTAGAAGATTAATAACCAATAATTCTGTAGTATCGAGTCTGTTGAGTACTGTGTACCAAAAATGTCATGGATGGATCGACTTACACTATGTGATGATTGTTCCAGAGGATACTGTATTCGTGAAAACTTGTCGTTGGGTCGAACCAGAGGTAGAATTTCTCTTCCCTTCCAGTTTTCACACTTCCATTGCCATATATATTTGTCTGCAGAACCCAATCTTTTCTCCTCTCGTGGCCAAGCAATTCAATATCAAGTTCATCATGGTTATGGGGGAAAACATCTGCATTAGACAACTGCATATGGCAATAGAAACAAAAATTTACCATTAGAAACATGATCATCAGTCTGATCCAAGAACTCCGTGCAGAAGAGCAAACTAACTAGTATTTTTGATAAACTTGGGTTCAAATCTGTGTATCTTTTTTTACGACTCTGTTGAATTCATTACTGTCTCTCCACGAATCGCAATTGGTCATGTCAGAATGCATCGATTCTTATAAAAATTATGAAGTTATAATCTTGCTCATTATACAGTTCTACTCAGTGCTGTGTGCCAAGAACGCCCGTAGAAACCGGCGCACATGAATTGGAAAAACTTACATAGAAGGCTACCACAACTCCTGATGTGAAACCAGCAGGCATTTTCATTGCAGCACTGAAGAATCCATAGTGGTATTTGTTCTTTGACATCAATCCAGATCCTAGAAAAAAACCCAGAAAGAGAAAATGTAATATGTCCTAAAAAACCAAAGTATACAATATAAATAATTTGTTTTTCTTATTTAAATTACCTGATTTTTTGTCCAAACTTAAATAAGCATTGGTCCCATTATTGGTCATATGAACATTAGATCCTCCAAAAGCAACATTATATCTTTCGTTAACCGGTACACGATTGAAACGATCGGTTAATCGCTCTACATTTGGAGGTGTATAGACTGCACCAAGCGCAGAAACCTCGATCATCATACAAAAAATCGAGAAACTTAAAATGAGTAACTTGTCTTGAAAAAATGCCATGTTTCAATAGATGAATGAGTGAAAATGTTGTGCAATATTGGG